AAATAGATGGGGAAACAGTGGAAACAGTGTCAGACTTTATTTTGGGGGGCTCCAAAATCACTGCAGATGGTGATTGCAGCCATGAAATTAAAAGACACTTACTCCTTGGAAGGAAAGTTATGACCAACCTAGATAGCATATTAAAAAGCAGAGACATTACTTTGCCAACAAAGGTCCATCTAGTCAAGGACACAATGTTGGTGGTATCCTGTCTGCAAAATAAGTGCTCTGCTAGGCTAGGGGCGGGGCTGGGGAGAGTGCAGAGCAAGGTCAGCCCCCACCTCCGTGGCCTGGACCGTCTCCTTCCAGCCTGGGTTTCATGTTCCTCATCGTCCTGGGCCTGGAACACACCTATGGCTGCACTGAGCTTTAGTCTCAAACAAATTACACATGGAGACACCAGGCTGGCAGAGAGCGGTGCTTGTGTAGAAATAAAGAACATGGGGCTGGGATGGTGTTTCTGAGCATGGGTTTCTTTTCTCTTTTTTAAAAGATGAGTTTAAATTCCTATAATTGACCTTGAATTTCCTGCTAAGTGTGGCATGGAATTGATTTCTCCCCAAAAGGCTGTAAATGGCTTTTCTCTGAAACTGCTAATACTGGCTGCAGCTCCATTACAGTATTTGTCCATGAGAGGAGCTAATTCCCCCCGATCCACTTCTAAATGGATTCTAAAGAGCCTGCTCACTCGGCCAGCAGCGCTGGGCAGGGCCTAAGAGCAGGGTTTGAACGATTGTGTGGCTCTCTGGACTTCATGACCCTTGGGGGAAAGGACCCACAATGGTCCTCGCCCGGCTTCCCACGCCATCCCCCATGTCCTGGAGCAAGTCCATTTCCTACTGGCTGGAGCATCCCAGAGTAACGTGCTGGCCAGCCCCAGGTCCCTCCCCTTACTGGACAGAGAAGGGGCAGTGTGACTGTGTTCTGGAAAGTTCTCCCCATAGCCTGGCGTTTCAGGATTTGCCATACTACTGACGGAGATTGTCTTGCCACAATTGAAAAAAAACAATAAGGCCATAAATTCAGTTCAGTTCAGTTGGTTCAGTCACTCAGTTGTGTCCAACTCTTTTCGACCCCATGGACTGCAGCATGACAGGCCTCCCTGTCCATCGCCAGCTCCTGGAGTTTATTCAAACTCATGTCCATTGAGTTGGTGATGCCATCCAACCATCTCATCCTCTGTTGTCCCTTTCTCCTCCTGCCTTCAATCTTTCCCAGCATCAGCATCTTTTCAAATGAGTCCTTCCAAAGAACACCCAGGACTGATCTCTTTAGGATGGACTGGTTGGATCTCCTTGCAGTCCAAGGGACTCTCAAGAGTCTTCTCCGACACCACAGTTCAAAAGCATCAATTCTTCAGCGCTCAGCTTTATTTATCGTCCAACTCTCGCATCCATACATGACCACTGGAAAAACCGTAGCTTCGACTAGACAGACCTTTGTTGGCCATAAATTAAACTATATTAACAGAATGTTATAGCACTGTTAAAAATCACACTTCCAGAACTTCCCTGGTGGCTCAGTGAGGAAGGAAACACAGGTTTGATCCCTGGTCCAGAGAGATTCCAAATGCTGTGGGACAACTAAGCCCATGGGCCATAACTACCAAGCCTGTGCTCGAGAGCCCGGGAGCTGTAACTGCTGAAGCCATGCGCTGCCATCACCAAGCCTGTGCGCCCTAGAGCCCGTGCTCTGCATCGAGAGAAGCCACTGCAGTGAGGAGTCCACGCAACACAAGCGCAGAGTAACCTCCGCTTGCCGCAACTAGAGAAAAGCCCTCACAGCAATGAAGACCCAGCTCAGCCAAAAACTAATTAATTAATTTTAAATAATTTTTAAAAATCACACTTTCAAAAAACATTGGTGATTCAGAGCACTATTCATAATTTAATAATATATTAAAAATATAAAATTACATACAAATTTAAATTTATGTATCATTAAGTAAATTACATATAATATCTCAAATCGCTCTCAAAAACCACCTATTGCTTCATCTATATAGAAAAAAACCCTGAAACAAATGCATCAAAATAGAAGCAGTGGCCATTTCAGGGTGGTGGGATAAACGATGAATAATTATTTTCCTCTCTACTAAGTTTCCTAATTTTTAAAATTAGTATTTATCACTTTTAATTTTTAAAGCTTTTTTTTTTTTAATGAGTGTGGGTTTCTTTTTTCTTCTTTTATTTCGAGGGCAGACAGGGCCCCTAGATGAACTTGGTGAGATGGGATGGCAGGGCAGCGTGCAAGAAGGCAGGCTCATCCTCCATCCGGTGTAAGCTTCCAGTGATGGGGCTGAAATAAGAGGCCCGACCCCAGCCTGGGATGATTCAGCCCCCGAGATATAGATAAGCCTTCTTTTTCTATCTCTCTATCTCCCTGCTGACACTCCACCTTGTCCTTCCTAATCACTCCCCACAGAAAATCTCCACCTCCTCCTTAAAGCCCAGCCCAAAGCCCCCTGCACCCTGAGACCCTTGACCCCCTGACCGTGCTCCCTGGACACTTGGAACGTCATGCTGTGACTTTGTACACACGGCCTCCTTTCCTCCACCACAAACCCAGCCCAGCACAGGGTCTGCGGCCCAGCATACGGGCATCAGTGGTGCTGGAATGCATGTCTCTCTTCCCACATCTGATGCTGGAAGGAGCCCCGGTGCCCTGAACCCGAAGCTTCTTGTGTCCGAGGCCGGAGCTGGGGCAGCCTTTCTTGCTGGTTGCTGGTCTCTCCCTGGACACCATATGGACAGTGAGGGGTGGGGGTGGCAGGTGCGGGGACTGGTGACTGTCCCAGTGGTTGACCCAACTGTCTGCCTTCCGCAGAAGGAAGGCTCCCTGTCCACCCCAGACCGGCTCTTCAAGATCGTGTTCGTGGGCAACTCCTCCGTGGGGAAGACATCCTTCTTGGGCCGGTTCTGCGATGGCAGGTTCTCNACTGGTGACTGTCCCAGTGGTTGACCCAACTGTCTGCCTTCCGCAGAAGGAAGGCTCCCTGTCCACCCCAGACCGGCTCTTCAAGATCGTGTTCGTGGGCAACTCCTCCGTGGGGAAGACATCCTTCTTGGGCCGGTTCTGCGATGGCAGGTTCTCCCCAGGCTCGGCAGCCACTGTGGGTGAGTTTTCTGCCCGAGGCTGGACCCTAGCCCACCTCTGGGAAGGGGTGGCTGTCAGAAGGGGGCCCAAGTAGGGACTTGGAGCCCTGTGGGAAGGGCCATGGGCTGGGCTGGGCTGGTAGGTGAGGACCAAGTCTGCCCAGTGCTCCATGAGGATGCAACTACAAATGCTTCCTACATCTGGCCTGAAGGGAACCTGAACTTAGCAAAGATGGACTGCTGGCCCTTTGTCCCCTTTCTGAGCCCGACTCTCTTGAATCATGCCTTCCCCACTTTCTCTGTGTGCGTGTGTGTGTGTGTGCATGCACTTGTGTGGATGGGCAGGGCACAGGACAGTGTTCTGGTGGCTTCTTTTATCCGTCAGCTGTCCCCATCTTGCATCCCAGGCCTGCTGGTAACAGCTGGAGTCCATTGTGGATGCTCTTTAAGCTCAGCTACTAGCTGATCAGGTCTTTGTCTGCTCCCGTCGCTATCTGGGTAATTCTGTGTTTAGGTGGGCTTCCCGGGTGGCTCCATGGTAGACAATCCACCTGCCAATGCAGGAGATGCATGGGTTCCATCTCTGGGTCAGGAAGACCCTTTGGAATCAGAAATGGCAACCTACTCCAGTATTCTTGCCTGGGATTCCCATGGACAGAGGAGCCTGTCAGGCTACAGTCCATGGGGTTGCAATGAGTCAGACACAACTGAGTGACTGAGCGCAAATCTGTATTTAGGTAGAGGCCTCGGCCCCTTCTCCCAGAGTTGCTCCTTGCCTTGAGATATGTGGTAGAACCCAAGGGCATTGTCGACCTTTTAGCTTCTTCCAAATTCAGTCACTCAAGCAAAAAAATAAATGAATCCATGGAGTGTCTTCTATATGCCACTTAACCTTGCTGATAAGAAAGTGAAGTGAAAAATGTTAGTTGATCAGTCGTGTGTGACTCTGTGACCCCATGGACTCTAGCCCAACAGGCTTCTTCGTCCGTGGAATTTTCCATGCAAGAACAACGTTGTATTAGTTTCTGCGGCACGACAAAGTGAATCAGCTGTATGTACACACACAGCCCTTCCTCTTGAGCCTCCCTCCACCCCCGCCATCCCACCTCTAGGTCATCACGGAGCACCAGGCTGAGCTCCCTGTGTTATATAGCAGCTTCCCTCTAGCTGTCTGTTTTACGCATGGTTGTGTTTATACGTCAAGGCTGCTCTCCCAATTTGTCCCACCCTCCCCTTCCCTTTCTGTGCCCACACGTCTGTTCTCTATTTCTGCCTCTCTATTCCTGCCCCCAAAATAGGTTCATCAGTACCTGTTTTCTAGATTCCATATATATGTATTAATGTATGATATTTGTTTTTCTCTTTCTGACTTACTTCACTCTGTGTGACCAACTCCAGATCCACCCACATCTCTACAAATGACCCAATTTCATTCCTTTTTATGGTGGGGAATATTCTTTATCCATTCATCTATCGGTGGACATCTAGGTTGCTTCCATGTCCTGGCTATTGTAGCTAGTGCTGTGATGAACATTGGGATACATGTGCCTTTTTGCATTATGGTTTTCTGAGGGTTTATGCCCAGGAGTGAGATTGCCAGATCATATGATAGTTCTATTTTAGCTTTTTGAGGCCCTTCCATACTGTTCTCCACAGTGGCTGCATCAATTTGCATCCCCACCTAATAGTTATCGTTTCCATCTGTCTTCCCAACAACCCTGAAAGGCAAGCACTGCTTTCAGCCCAATGCATGGACCAGGACTCCGAGGCAGGCCCAGAGAGGTCCAGAGGCTGGTCCTCATTCTCATCAGCTGGTTGGTGCTCACATTGGCCCCCCCATGTACCCTTGCTGTTCCAGCCCACTGTCTCCCTAACAACACAGAGTTGTGTTGGCATAGGCAGGGCAGCCTGCTGAGGTCCAGGGGGACATCGAAAATCCTGGACCTTTACCCCAGCTCTGCCACTGGCCGGCCATGTGATTCCAGAGGTATTTCTTCTTTGTGCTGCAGTTTTCCTCACCTGAAAAAAAATGAGATATTTGAACGAAGCCACCCAAGATTGCTTCCAAGCCCAGTACTCTGTCCAGACCACCCTTGACCCCCATATAAGACCCCTTGGTCTTACAAGCTGGCCCTCAGAGATAAACTTTCCTGCCCCAGAGAACTGCTTTGGGAGACTTCGAGATCTCCTCTAGGATAACCTAAATGGGCCCTTCTTTCCAATTTTCCTCCTATGGATGGGTCTCTCCTGTAGGCTGCAGGCACCCCGTTCTTATGGCTGAGCCTTTTCAGATTCCAAATCTGGGGGCCCCTCTTGCCCCACTTCTGCCCCGTTCCACATGGAGACTCGGAGCCTCCCAAGGGGAAGAATCGGGACTCTGACAGGAGGACACCCAGAAGACCCTGCAGCGTGTGACTGGGGACAGATGGTTCAGTGACCCAGTGTGCCAAGTGTGGCCCTGGAAGCAACCTCTATGGAGCTGGACTGGCCCTCCCTGGAGCGTCCTGTGGGGTGACCGCAGAACTACCCCCGAGGTCACACCTCGGGCAGCAGCCTGTGGGAGCAGGGGGGAGATGCTTCACCCCCCAGGGCAGCCCCCACGCCATGCACATGTTGCCTCTCCTGTTGGAAAAATCAGAGAATCAGGATCTGCTCACTCCTCCAACCTGTGTCTCTGAGATGGAGAACTCTGGAAAAGAGAATATCAGACTAATTTGCACTTCCCAGGAGGCCAATTATGGAAACACCGACAATTTACGGTGGGGAAAAATATCATAGTTTCTAAATCTAGAACACCCTTCCTCTCACTGCGCAAGGGGAGCCCAGAGCATCAGCTGGAATCCGCGTCCCTGGCACATGCGTCAGGGAGCCAATGTCATGCCAGCTGCCTGGAAGATGCTCCCTTTAAAGATACAGGCAAGGCTCTGAGTCCTGGGCTCCGGGGGCTCCAGGAGGCTGAGTCCCATAGGCACAGCAGCCCTGGACCCTCAGCACAGACCTACAGGGACATGGCAGTGCTTGCAAGCCCTCCTCCTTCCCCGAAGAGACTTCCTGATCGCCCAGCCCCTCGTGAGCACATGACTTGTCCTTTTCTGTTGGCTTATGCAGGATCTGGGTTCCCCAATGCAGCAGTGTGTCTTGGGGTGCCCAGCCTCCCCCACCATATGTCCCTTCAAAAGCAGGTGCATGGGTCCTGTGAGTGGCCTGGAAATGTCAAATGATGCTTCCTGTAGAATTCTGGAGCTTGTGTTGTTGAGGAGAAGAGAGGCTGTTGGAGGCAAAGGCTCTGAACCCAGGACTCTGAGTCCAGGACTCTCCCTGAGGCCCCACCTTGGTTCACAGCCTCCTGCTTTAAACCACAGACCATGCCCCAAGGTCTTCCTTCTGAAGCTTTCCTGGCAGGATGCCCTCTGACCTCTCCTGGGTACCAGTCAAGATCCATCCATCTCATCTGCACAGAGAAATTCTGGGAGCTTGCATCCATGACATCACTGGCTCTTCCCACTCTCAAGCCCGTGTGCTCGCACTGACTTCTTAGAAAGGTGAAGGCCGCCCTTCCTGGGGCCCACCACCCAGCTCTGACCCACACAGCCCACCACACACACAATCCCCGAGAGGGGCCCTGGGGTCCAGTCCTCATTCAGGAACCACTTAAGTTGTAATCTGGGGGTCACCTGCGAGTGTTCACTGAACGCCGCAGCAGGATGTAAAGGTCATGGGCGCCCAACTTTCCCCACACCCCCATCACACCTCAGTTTGCAGATGGGGAAAGCAAAGTCCCCCAAATGGGGTGAAGTCAAGTCCTCAAGGTCACATGGCTGCTTGGAGGCAGGAACACAGGTTCTGGGCTCCTGGAGCGTTGGAACTGGTGCAGGGGTCTCAGAAATTCCTCTGGCCCCATGTCCCTCTGTGAGGCCCTTTCTCCTGGACTCTGACACCCCATGTCCTCCCAGCCCCATGCTCCTGTCTGGCCTGTTCGTCTGTTTCCCAGCCTGCGGGTCTGAGGCTGCAGGGAGCGGTGCCCTGTGGGCCAGCAGGGACTCACCAAGCTCCTGGTCCACTGTGCTCCCTGCAAGACAAACTCCCCGCCTCCAGCAGAGCAGTCATCAGTGAGGTCAAGGGACCCAGCCGGCCCTCCGTCACCTGCCTTTCCACCAAACACAGGGCTCATCCTTGGGTCCTCAGGGGCTTCAGACCAGGCTATGGAGGTATCGGCTGCGGTTGGTTTTCTCCTGAGCTGTTATCAGATGGCAGGCAGCTACTCTGTCTCCCAGAGCACCCATGGGGGAAGCCCATGCACTTGAGCCAAGGAGATACCCTTGGGTCTGGTTCCCACCTGTTCTGATGGGAGCGCTGAGCCCTGGACTCTCTGGGTGAAATGAAGCTGCTGGGTGCCCCGTGCCTAGGGTGCTGCTGTGAAGAGAGGAACGAGCCTCAGAACTGGGTTTGCAACTTGGTGAGGCTGCTGACCAGCTCAGGCAAAGAGGGTCTCCTGCTTCTTCAGTCTTCCATGATGGGGAGGGGGTGGAGATGTGTGCACGTCGTGTATGGGTGTGTGTGTGTGTGTGCAGATAGCAACCCTCATGTGGATGTCACAGGGGAGCTCCGTGAGGAGGGAGGGATGTCACGTGGGAACTGGGAATGCTAAGCCTTCTACCTTTGGGACCCATCGCTCTGTTCCTCACCCAGATGTGGGCACCCTCCCTCTGACCTTCTTCTGGGAACCCAGGGTGTCTGCGGTCCTGCTGACATTCTAGGATCTGACGACCCTCCCATTGGGGCTGCCGGGTGGGGGCGTGGCTTCTGGATTGGGCGTGATGCTCGGCTCCACCCACAGGCATCGATTACCGCGTGAAGACGGTGTGTGTGGACGGCTCGCGGGTGGCCGTGCAGCTGTGGGACACGGCGGGGCAGGAGAGGTGAGGAGCAACCCCCCCCAACCCCGGCCCCCGGGGTAACCCCGCCTGCCCTCTCCCTGCGGGGGCGGGCTCTGGCGGCCGAGGAGGCGGCACACCTGACCCGGAGCTTTGCGCAGGTATCGCTGCATCACCCAGCAGTTCTTCCGAAAGGCCGACGGTGTCGTGGTCATGTACGACCTCACGGCCAGACAGTCCTTCCTGGACGTGCGGCAGTGGCTGAGCAGCGTGGAGGTGAGCTGCTGGCCTCCCGGGAGGGCCCTCCTCCTGGGTCCTCTCCGGACACTTGACTCAGACCCCACCTTCTCCCGGAACAAACCGATTCAGGCGTCCATGCGTCTGTCCACCGAAGTGCCCAGCATCAGGCTGGTTACTGGGGACCCATAGGTGAACCCGAGAGGTGTGATCAGACTCTGCCCTCGTGGGGAGGGGGTGTGTGGGAGAGGAACCCAGGAAAAATATAGATGAAGCCAATAATGGTGTCCCTGAGACTGTGAAAAGTGGGATTAGGAGTTGGGGAGGGAGTGCCAAGTGTCGAGGGTGCACAGTTTTCCAGAATGTTTACATAGAGTCACCATGGCCTCTTCCCACCGCCTGCGTTTTCCCAGCTCCAGCAGGGGTCAGGTCTGCTCAGTGTTTGGGGGTCTCATCACAGCCCTTCACACAAAGGAAGGCTGATCTGCAATGTGAGGGTCCCAGGCTGTCCCTAAAGACACCCTGGGGCCGGGCCCTCGAGAGATGGGGCTCCTCTTTGAATTCTGGATTCTGTCTAAGACTGTGCTTCCCCGCGTTGTCCTTGCAACAGGCTGCTCTGTGGGCCCTTTGTACTCCCGACCACCTCGAGCTCTCCTCCACCACCTGAATGAGACGTCCCAAGGCCAAGGGCCTGTGCCGAGCCACTTATTCTCTTTTACAGCCCTGCCCGCCCCAGTCCTTTCACATACAGACAAATAGGTCCCAGTCCTCTCACCAGCAGGACCCATGCTTTGTTTATTTGTTCTGAACTCTAACAGGCACTAGTCTGGGGCCTGGGGACTCCAGGAGCAGATAAAAGGGCCAGTTTGCCTCTCTTCGCGGAGCTCATGCTCAACCCTCTCTTCAAGCCCAAAGGCCTTGCTCAGCTCCTAACCTGCTCATCAGGCTGTCCCCTGCTGTCCAAGAAGGAGCTGCCAGCCCCAACCCCTGCCACCCTCCACACATCTTTACCTTTGTGACCAGGGCTTGTCGGAGGCTCCTCTGTGCTCAACAGATGTTGGATGCAAGTGTGGATGCTGTGTCTCCATGCAGGCAGGATACTGGGGTTGTTCATTTCATTATGTCTCAGCCCTGAGACCCATACTGCCTGAAACCCAAAATCTGTTCCTCTTGGAGTTTGGACTTGGATGGGCCACTGCTTTCTCTCCTGTTCCTCTGCAGCCTTGGTGTCACCAAGGAAAATGAGGAACGGGGATGGAACCGAGATTCCAGGGTTTCTCAGAAGTTTGCCTGATATAAATTATTTTTCAAAATGATTGCATCTAAAACACGATAAAGAAAATGTATGTTTTGAAATGTAGCAAGTGGCCCTACACAGAGCTGATGGAAGAGGCAGATGGTGGGGTGATACGGAAGTGCATCCTTTTTAAACTTTGTGATTTACGACCTGATTTTTGATGGCACCAGTAGATTTTATCTTCCTCACAGAGGTAAAACACCAGGAGAGACTTTAGGGCTTACCTAACCTGGTGGTTTTCAAACTTTCCTCCTTGGAGCCCTAGAAGCAGGCTGACCTTTCCCATGGTCAGATATGGTCAGTGAAGGGTGGTGGTCACATGTCTGGACCCCCTACCCCCACCTCAGAGCCCTTCTATATTGTTAAATTTTTTTCTTTTGATTGCTTTATTTATTTCTATTTTAGTTTTTGGCCATGCCACACAGCATGAGGGATCTTAGTTCCCCGGACAGGGGTTGAACCTGTGTCTCCTGCATTCTAAATTCAGTCTGAACCACTGGACTGCCAGGGAATTCCCCGTCTTTCAGTTTTGTGCACTGGAGTCTTGACTATGATTTTGTTGGGCAAGAGGGTTTCCCTTTGAAAACCACAGATGTAATACAGCCATCTGGTTCTCAAATGAAGCAGCTGAGGTCAGGACCTCTTCAAGGTCACCTGTTCTTTCCCCAGCCACAGACGTTTAATTGCACCCCATATCAAAATTTTGATAAACACACAGTGGGGTTTCTGCACACACCAAACTGGAGGATGTGGAACTTTCAGATTCCCAGCAGGGGGCTGACTGTACTACGCCTTTTTGAGTAAGGGACTTGGGCATCTGTGGGTTTTGGTACCTTCAGAGGTGCTGGCACCTTGTAGATACAGAGTGATGACTGTGTATTAGTTCTGGGAAGAGGCAAAGCAGATAGTCTGGGATTAGCAAGGATGGATGGAGAGAAATTTATAGAATTGTGCTCTCTGCATTAGTAGGACCTGGGATTTCTAAGGCCCCTGTTTTGCAGAGAGCCTGGGGTCTAGCCAGGAAGTGGCAGATCAGATTGGATTTGAAGGTAAAGAAATGCCAGAGGGTCTGATGCTGGGAAAGATGGACGACAAAAGGAGGAGGAGGCCATAGGGGATGAGACGGTTAGATGGCATCACCGACTCAATGCACATGAATCTGAGCGACCCCAGGAGACAGTGAAGGACAGAGGAGCCTGGCGTGCTGCAGTCCATGGGGTTGCAGAGAGTCAGATACGACTTAGCGACTGAATGACAGCATTGTCGCAGCTTGAAGGCTGAGTTCCGTCATTCCACACAAAGCTGGGTGGAGCACTGTGTGATTAGCCTGTTCCTGCCTGGGGTAGGGCTGGATAGCATCACCTGCATGCACCCTAACAGAGCCCCCCATGGAAGCAAAGCTGAGATGGCAGATCCATCTGTGGCTAACTCAGAATTACCCATGTGTGGACAGGGCTTCTCTGTGTAATTTGTGGTTTGCATTCTCCTGCTTTAAGCTTTGAGCAGAAGGTACAGGTAAACTTGAAAAGATGATTCCAAACCTGAATGAACGTGAAGATTACTTATGGAGCTTTCAACCAAAACAGACACCAGAGCCTTCTCTCCCAAAGAGAATAATCCAGAACTTGGAAATCTGAACAACAACAAAAGCAAACGTTCCCCGGGTGGTTTTGATCCTCAGCCACCATGGTTTCCAGCCTAAACCAGTGGCTTCTCAAACTCTAATATGCATAGTCTCCTGGAGACAGGGTTAAAACACGGATCCTGGGTCAGCAGGTGTGGGCTGGGGCCCCAGATTCTGCATTTCTAGCAGCTTCTAAAGAGCCAATGCTGCTGGGCCAGGGACCCCACTTTGAGAAGCAAGATTCTAAATCCTTCTCAAAGACGTCTGTGCTCCTTCAGCAAGAATTTGAGGGGTGTGACCCGTGTGCTCAGCATGTCCCGGGCACACCGGAGGACTCGGTTTGGTGGCCCTGGATTCCATGGGCAGGTGCCAGAGGCTGTGTCAGGTGGCAGGGGTGTGTTGAGGACGTGGAACGGTGGCATCGTAAATGCAATTGATCTCAAGGTTCTTGAAAAGCTAAGTTGTTCTGCCTTGGCAACCAGCCACCAGAGACGTCAGGTGATGGATGAAAACTTGACACCTACTTGGATCGGAGAGGGACTGAACAGAAGCAGCACTTGGCGCTGGTGGCACACCTCCAATTTCCATGGCACTCTGCCAGCCAGCACCCCCGCCCGGAGGAGGCAGGGTGGGGCGGGAGCTTTAATAACAGCCTTGGGTTCGGAAGCCTTGTTATTAAGTGAATGGTGGCCAGCTGTTCCCAGCACCCCTTCCCCCCTCAACCTAAAAGCTGTACCGGAGGAAAGGGCTGAGATTGTACACAGCAAAGCCTGGCTCCTGGACGAGGTCTTCTGGGGCGCGAACAGCTGCTGGGGAGGTGTGGAGTTCCCTGAAAAGGACCTGGTCACCATCTCAGCTCAGCCACCGCCTGGCTCTACAACGTGAGCCAGTCACTCAGTGAATGGGTGGATGGGATGCTCTGGCCCTCACTTTCTACTGGGGCTGGCCCTTGACTCTGGGGCGGGGGGACAGGATGGATCATATAGACGACTCCGGTGATCCTTCCAGCCCAGACAGAACTAAATGCCTTGGGTGAAGAGGAAGGACCTCTGCCCTGCTTTATGAGGTGTCCTGCCCACCCCCCAGGTCCCTTCCATCTTTACCTGGCCTGCAGGCCTCCTGCAAAAGAGGCCAAAGCTGGACCCAGACACACTCTGTGAGGATCCTTCCACTGTCTTACCTTTCCTGTGCACCTATGGGAAATCACAGCCGTTAGACCTTCCTGCCACCTCAATGTCCCCGACCCATCTGACCCTCATCTCTGCTGCGTGGGACTCCTTTAACAAGTCCAATCTAGAGGAGAAACTGGACGGGATCTAAGGGCCCTGTTTTTTAGACTGTGAAGCACCCTGGACATCTGAAAACCTTGGGCCTGAATCAGGTCAAGAAAACAGGATTTGGTTCAGGCTTGATGAAAACTCTTGAGTAAGGAGATCATACCAGTCAAACCTAATCAACCCTGAACATTGACTGGAAGGACTGATGCTGAAGCTGAAGCTCCAATACTTTGGACACCTGATGCGAAGAACTGACTCATTTGTAAAGACCTCAATGCTGGGAAAGATTGAGGGCAGAAGGAAAACGGGGTGACAGAGGATGAGATGGTTGGATGGCATCACCAGCTCAATGGATGTGAGTTTGAGCAAGCTCTGGGAGATCGTGAAGAACAGGGAAACTTGGTGTGCTGCCGTTCACGGGGTCACAAAGAGTCGGACACAACTTAGTGACCAAACAACAAGCCCAATGGNACATGAAGTGTAGAAAGAGGGCTCAAGTGTTGAGGCTCAAGTCAGAGAGGACCTGAGAGCCCAGCCCAGCCCCGGCCCCTCCCATGGTGGAGATGGATCTAGGGCGGGGTGAGGATACCTGGCTGCCTATGATGGGTAGCATGTGCCGCGGCCTTACATATGTTCTGACCTTTTTTTTTTTTTGCTGCATCTTTGGAGATGGATCTAGTTCTCCTACATCACAGGGCCCACGGGGGAAATGTGAGGGGCCAGAGAGTTTGTATAGGAGGAAGACACTGCAAAGAGCAGAAACCGCTGCTACAGCTGGGGCCTGGGCTTTTTAGCCAGGAATTGTTTTTGGAAAGAAGGCCACCTCTTCTGTTTTCAGGGGCAGCTCTGCTGCTCATGGTACAGGTGCTAGGCTGCCTGTTCCCACCTCATCCCATTTGATCATTCAGGACCCAGGGAGAAGAACCAGCCATTTCCCGTAACAATATCAGACTCCAGGCTAGAATCCCACCCTGAGATTTCAAGTCTGATGCTCTTATTTTCAGAGAGTTTCCACATCAAGAAATCCCACCAGCCTTAAGTCATTCCTCACATATCCGTCTACAAATACCTCTCGCTTGTGCTCTAAACAGCAAGTCCTTTGGCTTGTTTTCCTACTTCTTCCTCTTTTGTTCCTTTTCTGTGAAAAACTGTTTGCACGAGTTTCTGTGGCACAAAACAGGTGAGCCTGTGGGGGCATCCCTGGTCCCCGAAGTCTGGTTAAGAGGGAGTCTCGTGGACCATGCATGCAGCCATGAGTATTTCTTACTCGCAGATAACTGGAATATGGCGGAGTCCACCCAGCACATCCACCACCATGTGCATAAGTCAATCTACTTCTGATGTCTCAGAAGACCCTGTAAGATCTTGGAGTGCCTTGAGTCATCATCCCAAAGGTTCATTACCGTCTCACCATGGATATGCAGAAATACTGCCTTTAGAAAGTTCTGGTTAATGAGACAGTAGATAGCAGAGGGGCTTCTCAGGTGGCTCAGTGGTAAAGAACCCACCTGCCAATGCAGGAGACCCGGGTTTGGTTGCTGGGTTGGGAAGCTCCTCTGGAGAAAGGAATGGCAAGCCACTCCAGTATTCTTGCCTGGAGAACCCCATGGACAGAGGGGTCCGGAGAGCTACAGTCCACGGGTCACAAGGAGGGGATACAACTTTGCTCCTGAATAGTGACAAAGTAGCAGAGGTCGTTGGAGATAAGAACTTAGAGCCAAGGATTTGAGAAAGGTGATCCATATACTAAAGGATGGGTCTTCATAACACTGACTTTACTGGATATTATTTTGGATTCTCTGAGCTCTAACGTTCTCATTTAATCAATGAGAATTTTTTCACTACTGAACTGCAATGAAAAGGAATGTGTAGACTGAAGAACCAGGAAGCTTCATTTCAAATGTGATGACGTTTAAACTCAAATGGATGTCCTGCCGGAGGGATCATGGACATTTGCTTGACAGGGTCTAGGGTAAGACAGCTGAACTGTTGGTGACTTTGTAACCGCTGGCTGACTTCCGGAATCCCACGGCCCTCTCTGCTTAGTGAAACACAGAGCTGCAGTGAATAACTAGTTGTTACCGAATTATGATTAAAAGCTCTAATTAAATATCTCACAAAACAAAAACAACAACCTGAGTGAATGTGAACATTACCACATTGACTCAGTCTCTGCGTGTCTTGGGTCCTTGGGGTGCAGGAACTCTCGGGTGCAGGGACCTGGGGTGTAAGAACCCTGGGGAGCAAGGACCCTGGAGTGCAGGGGTCCCAGGGTGGAGGGACCTGGGGTGCAAAGAGCTTGGGAGTGTGGGGAGCCGGGGATGCAGGGACCCTGGAGTGCAGGGATCCTGGGGTGCAAGTCCCCAGCTGATACATCACAGCAGCTGGAGGAGTAAGTAGGGTTGAGCCCTCAAATTAACCTGTTCTTCTGGCCCATGATCTGTGGGTGCTTCAGGCCCCATTCTTCCTGATTGGGACTTCTTCAGAGCCAGGGCACCCAGGACAGGGATACCCATGGGTGACCTCCAGGGAAGCACACGACAGCCATGTATCGGGCACTGTGGGCCCAGGACCATGAATCGGACCCGGACCCATCCTTTGAGGAGCAATGTGCCAAGTTCAAGGTCCCCAGAGGTGCCACTGCTGGCGGCATAGCCCTTGGACCACCTCCTAAGCCCATTACAGTAACTCCTTTTCATTTGGTCATATCAACCAAATCTGGTCACCTGGGAATACCTGTGGGGGCTGTGTACAGACCCTTATTTTATCAGCATCAACTGTGCCCTCGTTCTGCTCCATCTAGGACCCAACGAGCAGGCCAGAGGGGGGTTCCCTGCACAGAGGACTGGGAGGCACCAGAGGCAGCCTCAGGCACTCACAGAAGCCCAGCAAACTGAGGCTCTGAGAGACCGAGGTCCCCTCTCCACTTTGGGGTGACTGTCTTATCACCCGACCTCTGTGGCAGCGGAGAGTTCGCAAGCCAGTTAGAGTCTTTGCAGCCAATGTTTTCACCTGCCCTTCCAGGTTCTCCTTAAGAATGTATATCTCCGTTGGGGATTATCTTTTCCACAGGAAGCTGTGGGAGACCGCATTCCTGTTCTTCTGCTGGGCAACAAAATTGACAACGAGACAGAGCGAGAAGTGCCGCGGGGCCTGGGAGAGCAGCTGGCCAAGGTGAGGGGCAAGCATCCTGTCTCTCTGGATGGAGAGGGACCCCGAGGGGTGTCGGGCATGTGCCCCAGAGCTGGGCTGGGATCCTTCCTGGGGAGGCCCCTGGGAAGGAAGCAAGCGGGCTGGATGGTGTCCTGGCATCAGGGCAGGGGTGGGGAGGGGGAGTCCAGCTTCGGTGTACATGGAACTTTGTGCAGAGAACCAAGGTTGCAAGACAGACTTGCCTCGGGCGTGGGGAATTTCCCAAATTCTCTTCCTTGGAACTCAGAATTATGAATTCTCAGAGGCTGCGGCTGCGCACGCACTTAGTTGTGTCGGACTCTTGTGACCCCATGGACTGTAGCCCGCCAGGCTCCTCTGTCCATGGGATTCTCCAGGCAAGAACACTGGAATGAGTTGCCATTTCCTCCTCCAGGGGAGTTTCCTGACCCAGGGATCGAACCCCAGTCTGCCTGCATCTCCCGAATCCGCCTGCGATGCAGGAGATGCAGGCAGATTCTTTTATCTACAAAGCCACTGGGGAAGCCCAAACCCTCCGCTAGGAGGAGGTTCCTTATTTCAGCCCCCCAGCTGATCCTTGAGTCCCATCCATCTGTGTTTCTTGACTTGCTCACCTTCACAGATGACGCGCTCACTTCCTGCCAGACAGTGTGCTCTTCCTTGGAGCATGTTCTTCCTATTAGAGCATCCCTCCTTCCCACCAAGACTGAGCCTCCAAGCTGCAGACTCCAGACAAACTCAAGGCAGGCCCTGCAAAGTGGACCATTAAAATAAGCACCAGCACCCTCACCCAAGCAGAGAACCAGTGTGGCTTGAAGGAAATCGGCAGCAACACAAACCACGCTCGCTCTTGGTGGCCTGCTTTCCCTCCCTTGGTGGCAGATTCTGGGAACCGTGTGTCTGTGGAGCTGGTGCTCTGAAGGCCCAGGATTCCATAAGTGTTGGTGGGCTTGCTCGAGACAGGCACTTATGGCCTCTGGGGCTAGGCAGGCAGGCACAGGGGTGAGATTCACGGGAGGAGGAGGAGGAAGGTCCCGCAGCTGTGTGGTCAGCTGGCAGCTGCAGGTCCCTGGGCCATATCCGCAATTCCCAGTCCAAAGTGCTCCAAACACAAAGGTTTTTTTGGATTTCATTTGTCAGAAGAACCTGGCCAGGACTGCAATTGGGGCTTTTTTTGGTTTTTGTTTACTTCACTTCGAATGAACATTCAAATGTTTCACTGAAGAAATATTAATATATTTGATTATAGGGTGCTGTTGTATATCCACAGAGGCTATTATGTAATATGTATTATGGACAAGTATTATCTTTCTTGTCCTTATTTCTGGGCTTTCCTGGTGGCTCAGATGGTAAAGAATGCCTGCAATGCGGGAGACCCAGGTTTCATCCATGGGTCTGAGAGATCCCCTGGAGAAAGGAATGGCAGCTCACTGCAGTATTCGTGCCTGGAGAATGCCAGGGACAGAGGTTACAGTACATGGGGTCACAAACAGTCGGGCATGACTAAGTGACTAACACTATTATCTTTCTAAAAGTTAAAAATTCTGGACTCCGAAATACACCTGGATCCAAGGATTTTGATTAAGGAACTGCAGATCTGTATTTTTATCATTCCATTTTATTTTTCTTTCTTTCTGTAAGTGAAAAAAAGAGAAGGCTCAGAGAAGTTAAGTCATCTGTTCAGTTATCACCCATCCTCAGTGGTGGGGTCTGGGCTTGAAGCTAAGGGGCAAATCATGTCTTCCAGTTCTAGGTCTATGTGTTCCCTGTTCCCCCGCCCCCACCATGGAGCCTTCATCCTTCCATGGACTGAAGGGGAGTCAGGACAGAGGTGTGCGGGGGCCAGACCCGGTGAAGGCAGAGGACGGAGCTGGGCCAGCATTCTTGGGGCCTCCTAATCTGTGGCTGTGGATGCATTTGCACCCAGCTGCCTGTCCCCCAAGCTGTCAACCTCCAGGGCTCCTGCCAGATGCCATTAGCGTTGTCATTTATGAAGCAGGAAGCCTGTTAATGGGAGTGGTAAACGGAATAGGATGAGGCTTGGCCAAGCCCCCTGTCCCCACACTTAGAGTCCACCCTCCGCCTGGGGAGGTGATGGACAGTTCTCCTGTGCCCCAGGGCCAACAGCACAGGCAGCCAGAGTGTTCGTTAACTGGTATGTGAATTATTAATAACTGTGCCCGTGTGCCAGGGAAAGTGAGCTGCTGGGAGCCCGGTGGAGACCTGAACAGGCTCACCCACCGTTTGTACCCTCTTGAGCCTCACTTTCCCTGCCTATAAAGCAGAAAGGATGCCACCCACCCTGGCCTCTGTCTGAGTCTTGGCCTGCATCGCAGGCTGGTGTGAGAAGAAAAAGGAACCCGTACACCCCAGACAGCAATTCCAGAAAGTTTGAAGCACTAAGGCAATAGTGTAGGTTGTGTTGTTTTATAGTTCTTATGGCTCCCCTGGGAGATGGTTCTGGAAGCTGCATCCGTCAGGGAGCCCGAGGGACAGAACTCAGCCTGGTCCAAGGTGGGGAGGGCGCACGAGGAAGTGAAGGTGCGGCGGGTGTAGACGGGCATTCTCCCCCGACCCAAGGCTCTCTCCGTCCCCCCACCCCCACAATTCTCCTTCACGCCCTCTGTCCTCTGATTCCAGGAACATAACCTGATCTTCTATGAATGCAGTGCCTATTCCGGTCACAACTCGGAAGAGTCCGTGCTCCATCTGGCCAGGTAATGAGATGCTACTCAGCGGTCCCTCTGTCTGCCTAAACCCCCTCTGTCTGTCTGAGCCATCTGGATAGAGGGGCTGGAGCCCTAGGCCTTTGTGTGGGCCCCCAGGGTCAGGGACAGACCTCTGAAACACAATGACAAAAAGAGAGCCTCCTTGCCTGTCACCCCCCCACCCCCGTCCCCCCACTGCAGTCTTTATCTTCTGAGTCTTAAAGGCTGCTTGCCTGCCCTTTCCCAGAGATCCTCTTTTTAAATGCAAATGCTTTGGGAAAGGTCAGATCAGAGGCCTCTCAATGCTGCCTAATGTTTTAGCAAGGATTAGTCGGCAGCCAGCTGGTTTATACTGTGGACTCCTGTTGGAGGGGGAGGGGAGCCAAGGAGAGGGGCTGTGATGGGGGACACAGAGGTACCCTAGAAGACAGCGCTCAAAGGACTGGTGCTGTAAGCCTCTACCTACACTAAGTTTAAGGAAACAGGACTACACAGGCCCCAGTCTCAATCCTTGGGCATTCACTCATTCATCTATCTAGGCATCCATCCCTTCATCCCTTCATCCCTCACTCATCCCTCCATCCATTCATCCATCTGTCCATCTACCCACCCATCCCTCCCTCCCTCCATCCATCCATCCATCCACCCACCCATCCATCTGTCCATCCATCTATCCATCCATCTGTCCATCCATCTATCCATCCATCTGTCCCTCCCTCACTCCCTCCATCCATCCATCCATCTGTCCCTCCCTCCCTTCCTCCATCCATCCATCCATCCACCCACCCATCCATCCGTCCATCCATCTGTCCCTCCCTCCATCCATCCACCCACCCACCCATTCACCCATCCATCCATCCATCCATCCATCCATCCACCCACCCACCTATTTACCCATCCATCCATCCATCCATCCATCCATCCATCCATCCACCCATCCATCCACCCATCCATCCATCCATCCCTTCATCCCTCCATCCATCCATCCATCCCCATCCATCAACCCACCCAGCAGATACTGATTAGTGCTTATGTCATGCTGAGCATTCATTCTGGAGCATCTAAAAGATATTTTATTTTTTTAATAATTAAGAGAACAGAACAACTTATTCGATGCACTGGAGACATTGTGGAGTTATGGAAGACCTAGGGATTTATGGGGAGAACTCTAGGGTTTTCTCTGCCACGGATTCCCAGGGCAAGTCTCCCTGCCTTCCAGGGTTTTGCCTCAAGCATGGGAACATCCATCCTACCTTCTCTGCTCTTACATTGTGAAAATCGGTAGAGGTGCTTCTGGTGAAAGTTCTTGGAGAGTATAAAGCAGGGATAAGATCCCTGACATTATTTTTGATCCTTCACCTCTCATAGATAATCTGGAGCTCTGGCCACATGGGAAGCCTCTCCATAAAGTTAATAACCAATAATTATAGTGTTTGAGCCTCTGCTGGGTGCTGGGTACCATGATAAGCTTCAGAGACACAGAGACAAAGGATACAATCTCTATCATCAGCATCTCACTCTCTGCTGAAAAGCAGTGATGGGACTGTAATAAAGGATGGACCCAAGTGCTACCACGGGCACTTACATTATCCAGAGCATCAGGAGAGGCTGACTGGAGGAGGTGTTGTGAAGGATCCATACTGATTACAACTTTAGCTTTACAGATCACAGTTGTGCACCTGTGCTTGCGCCTGGGGAGACTTGGAGCACTGTCTCTGATGCTCTTGGGAGGCTGGGTCCATCCCAGCAGCTCCTCTGCTGCTGACCCTCCACCTTCCCCTCCCCCAGGATCCTCAAGGAGCAAGAAGACACGGTGCGGGAGGACACCATTCAGGTTGACCGCCCTGCCAAGAAGAAAGCCTGCTGTGGCTGATACAGGCCTCCCGCCCGGACGTGAGGCCACGGGGCCGCCCTGCCTTCTGCACACAGGCTCCTGCACGAATGCCCCCACTAAGACCCACTGGACTTTTGTCTCCATCGGCAATGGTCCCCCCACCACCGTGGAAGGAAAGTGCAACCCCAAGGAGAGCTGCTCTCTGGATGTCTCGGGGTCTTTCCCTCTCTGCTCTGTCTGGACCCAGGTGTTGCTTCCATCCTTCTTTCTCCCTCACCTTGGTTTCCTGGGGGAATGGACAGATGGGCTTTTCTAGAAAAGCCACCCTGTGCCTTCTCCACCTCCCTTCTCCCCACCCTGCTCTTAGGAGCCTGGCACTGACGTTGCCATGGCAACTGTGCAGGGCAGACTGGCAGCTTCCTGTAGGTCAAAGTCACGGGACTGGGCAATGCTGAACGATCGGTCTGGGCTCGGAGCCTGTTCTCTGGATGCCAGTGGACACCCTTGGCATGTGCTTCATGGGCCTTGAGGTGCCTACGGGTGCTGAGTCCATCAAACCGAGATACCTGCTTCCTGTTGCACCGTCATCCCCAGGGGACCTGCTCCTTCCCCAGCTTCAGGGCTTCTTTTCTCTCAGCAGCCGCCAGGCCTCGGTGTTTATCCCCATGGGTTCTTTGGAGCTGCACCTTACAAAAGCCACAGCCTTTCCCCCCGACCACCCACCTGCTCCCCCGACTCCACAGGGTGGACTGTGGGTGATCAGTGTATGCCGGGGGTCAGGGAGTGGGCTGACCAACTGCTTAACTTTGACGAGGAGATGAGAAGAAAACCTGGGCAACAAAGCCAGCTGCTGCTAAGCAGAGCGCCCATGTCTGAAGGTATCAGGAAGGTACACAGAACCATGGAAAAGCCATTTTCTAACTGTTTCTCAAAATAGCTCTTCAAGAATTGTACCTGGTGATTATCAGGGTAGCAGGGTAGATTGACAGGCAGGCAGGGAGGCCCAACCTCAGGTCTGTAGTTACTGACTTCATTTTATTTTACTTTTCTAGAAGGCTATATTTTTTTAAGTGTGGCTGTGATGTTGACATGTAGGGGGTTCTGAGCGGTGAGCAGAGGGTAGCTGCTGGCTTCGGCACCCCTGTGACAGCCCCTAAACAGGGCACTTGGAGGAAGGACACTGATCTGGGCTGGCGTGTGGTCCAGTCCGCTGGCTTCCGAGGTCCCAGCCCTTGGCAGCGCTCCAGCGTCACTGACTAGAATCCCGGACTGGTGAGGGCACTCTCACCCTGACTGGAAGCTTGGAGGCAAAGATCATGAACGCCACTGCCACTGACCCTTCTAGGGCTAGACCCCAGCCCCACATAGGAAAGTGGGTGAGGTCCACATGCCCTGGGGCATGCAGGAAGAGAGGGGACAGAAAGCGTCCGCAAGCCACCAAGAAGATGATTCAAGAAAGCTGCACACAGCCAGCTGGGTGGGGTAGGGGGCAGTCACAGGCCAAGAGCCCCCAAGGGTGTGCCTATGGCCTCCTGCCCAGACCGACCAGAGGGTCAGAGGCCACAGGCCGCAGACAAGCGCCAGCTTCCTTTGTTCAGGCTTTCTGTCTGTCCACTTTTGTAGGCGCCTGGGAGTCCCCGGAGGGCGGGCGACAAGAGCCAGCAGAGTGCCAGGAGGCACCCAGGATCCTGAGCAGTCCTTCTCCCTCCTGGGCCCGAGTGGCATCAGCAACAGAAGGGCTTTGGGGGGCTCTTCCTGCTCAGAGGGCTTGTGTTTATCATCTGATGGACTCTGGCCCCCCAGCCCCGGAGTGGAGGGACTCACACGAGGTCCTTTCCCTAAGAGAGGGGACTGCTGGTGTCTCACTAGTGAGATGGTCACCAGCAGTGTCTGTATGTGTCTGTGTGTCTGTGTGTGTGCCTTTATCCGCAGCCCCTCATCCCTAGCCTGGGTTTTGAGTAGGGTGGGATGACCCTAGGCCTGGCCTGCCAGCCCGTGGGGTGAATCCTCACCAGTCCTCAGGGATCCAGGCAGAGTGAGGGGCAGGAAGGTGGTCAGGCCCCTGCGGCTCCCTTCCCCCTGCCCACCTGAGAAAACATGGTGTACGGGGACTTTGTAGAGACTCTGAGAACTTCTGTGTCCCCGGATCTCAGCTACCCCTTTCCCCCTATTCCTTTAAAGCAGCCCTGTTGGACACCAGCCCAGCCTGGAGCCTAGTATAGGGTGCCAGCAAAGCCTCCCTTCTCCGACCCCTTGCTGCGGGAATAACTCTGAGCAAGTCACTTAAGCAGGTTTCCTATGTGTCTGTGGACAGATTTCCACATGGACCTCTAGGAACGCTTTGGGTACCGTGAGAGGCAGTGCATGTGAAGTGCCTGGAACACATAGGTGCTGACAAGTAGGGGCTATTGTCATTGTCAGGTCGGGTTTCTGCCCAGAACCTTTGCCTTGCTTCGGTTTCATAGCCAACACTAAGCGTCTTCCTGTAACTGGGCGCCTCCCAGACACCACCTTGTTTTTGTTTCCGCTCGCCCGGCTCTTTGCCCGACTTCTGAGCTTGTGTCTGGTGTGACCTCCTGGCCCTGCCCATCTTTGTCCTGTGGGCTTCCTGGTTTTCCACTCAGCCCTCATCCTGCCACCTTCCCTCCCTGCCACGGTGTTCCCAGCGCTTACCCGGGGATGCCCCGCGCTCCTGGCCCTTATCCGGGGATGCCCTGTGCTCCCGGCCCTTACCCGGGGGTGCCCTGCGCTCCCGGCACTTACCCGGGGATGCCCCGCGCTCCTGGCCCTTACTCGGCAGTGCCCCACGCTCCCGGGCCTTACCCGGGGGTGCCCTGCGCTCCCGGCACTTATCCAGGGATGCCCTGTGCGTGTCACCATCCCCGGCCCCTCGCTGGCCGCTCCCATTCTGACTGCTGGGGCCTCTCCCAGGTCAACTGCTGCCTCTGCCCATGAACTCCGGCAGAGTTCATGGCTTTGCTCCTTGTCCAGCACGCACTTCCCCTTTGGGGTCTTTTCTGCTCCTCCCGGCTTTCTCCCACCTTTCCTCTGCCCTGTACTGCTCTTTCCGCAGTGTTCACGCCTCTGCCCAATCTTGGACTCCCGTCCAGTCTCCCCTCGCCCAGGTCTACTCCAGGCCACACCTATGTCCTCCGTCATGGACGTCTCAACCCTTTGTTTCTGTCACTAGCAGTCCCTACTCCAAAGGATCTTAAACCAATTTCAGCTAAGGTGTTCATGCCAGTGGTGTTCAGGGCCATATTTGTATTTTAACAAAGAACTCTAAGAAAGGCATACTTGAACCCAAAGGAGTAAATCCCTAGTGGTAGACTATTAAGCACCATAATGGGTTATGGGGTCAAATATTTAAGACAGAGCTGCTTCTCCTATGGGACTTCCCTGGTGGTTCAGATGGTAAAGCGTCTGCCTACAATGCTGGAGACCCGGGTTCAACCCCTGGGTCAGGAAGATGTCCTGGAGAAGGAATGGTACTCCTCCTAAAGATCACAGTTTGCTTCATGTACTTTTGGGCTCTAAGTTCCTATATGTTTATAATTGTTTTGTCTTCCTGACGGTTTGACCCTCTATCATCATAAAATGTGCTTCTTTGTCTTTAGTCACAATTTTTGTCTTAGAGACTACTTTGTCTGATGTTAGTATGGCCACTCTGGCCCTTTTCATTGATACATCTTCTGAATGACATATCTTCTCTGTCCTTTTACCTTCAGCCTATTTGTGTCCTTGAATCTAAAGCGGGTCTCTTGTAGACAGCGTGTAGATGGATTCATGTTTTCTTTTCTTCCAATCTCTGCCTTTTAATTGGAATGTTTAATCTGTTTATATTTAATGTGATGGGTAAAGTATGATTTATGTCAGCCATTTTGCTATTTCTGTATTTCATATGTCTTTTTTGTTCCTATATTCCTCCACTACTGCCTTCTTTTGTGTTAGTTATTTTCTAGTGTACAACTGTAATTCTCTTGTAATTTTATTTGCAATGTGTAATTTATTTGTTTTCTTGGTGGTTGCCCCGAGGGTCACCATTAATATCTCAATTTATTACAGTTTGGATTAATAATGACTTAATTCCAATAATATAAAAAATTTATTCCTATATAATTTCATTCCACCCTCCTTTATGTTGTTATTATTATAAATTACATCTTTATACATGTTATGCCCATCAACAGAGATTTTTATTTATTGTTTTATGCAATTGTCTTTTAAGTCAGAAAAAGGGAGTTACAAATGAAAAATATGTTTATATCATCTTTATTTATGTAATTACTTTTACCAGTGCTCATTATTTTTTCATGTTGATTGAAGTATTTAGTATCCTTTTAGTATCTTTTTAGTATCCTATTTAGTATCCTTTATTTCTGTAGTAGTTCTTGTAGGGCAAGTCTGCTAGAGACACACTCTCAGTTTTGTTTATCCAGAAATGTTTAATTTCTCCTTCACTTTTAAAAGATAGTTTGACCAGATATAGAACATTTGATTGACTGACAGGGTTTCTTCCCCATCAGTACTTTAACTTTACCATCCCGCTGTTTCTGGCCACCAAGGTTTCTGATGAGAAGCCAGCTATTCATCTTATTAAGGATCATTTGTATGTGATGAATTGCTTCTTTCTTGCTGCTTTCAAAGTTCTTTGTCTTTCTATAGTTTGATTCTTATGGGTCTAGCAACAGACCCCTTTGAATTCATCCTACTTGCAGTTGGGCTGACTTTCTTGAATGTATAAATTAGTGGCTTTCAACAAATTTGTGGAGTTTTTGGTTATTATTTCTTTAAATAGTCTTTCTGCCACTCTATCCCTCTCCCTTCCTTCTAGGACCCTATTATACATATATCGGCATGCTTTATGGTATTCCACAGGTTTCCGAGGCTCTGTTCATTTTTCTTTATTTTTTTAAAGTTGTGTTGCTAGGACTGGATCATCTCAATTGCCTTATCTTCAAGCCCACTAATTCTTTCTTCTGCCTGCTCAGATGTGCTATTAGGACCCTCTAGTGAATTTTTCATTGTACTTTTAGTGAATTTTATTACTGTCCTCATCAACTCCACAATTTATCTTTGGTTCTTTTTTTTATAATTTATGTCTTTTTATTGATACTCTCTATTGGTAAGATATTATTCTCATGCTTCCCTTTAGTTATGTAGACATGGTTTCCTTTAGGTCTTTGAACATATTTTAGATAGCTGATTTACAGTTTCAAAGACTTCACAGTGGTAGCCATCTGCCCTGTGCAGAGAGCGAGGTCTGCTTGCCATCTCCTGCTATCTTCCTTCCACTTCACCCAATATAAGCAGGACTCTGGTCTCATTCCTTAGCCCCACCCTCAACTCCTGCACAGAGTCTCTCTTCTCTTCTGGATTGGAGGAGGACCTTAACATCAGAAGATATGTGGATCTGAGAAACCCTCCCCTCCACCTTGAGCTTCTGGCCACCCTGCTGGAGATGAGCTTCTCAAGGACATGTCCAGTTCCTTGGGGAAGTGAAGAGAGACCAGGGATCCTCAGATAGCTGTCCCCTTCCTGCTAGAAGTCCAGACATTCCACAGAGCTTCACTCACAAGGGACAGGTGTGGGAAGATTGCAAATCAGAAGCTTATTTAAAAAGTAGCTTAATTACTTCAAAATCATGAAATCATAGTACATAAGCATACAAAACCCAAGACATAAGTGGCCTGTTGCTGACAGGCCCTAGTTGTCCTGCCGTCTTGCCTTCCCATAGTCTGGGGAACAGAAAGTGGCTCTTCAAATTCCAACCAACTCAGCCAAAATTCGTAGTTATGAGCTATTGCCTCCCTCCTCATCCTGGGGTGTATGTCGGTGGGGAGGAAATGGAGATGTTGGCAGGATATGGGAGCTTTCTAAACCTCCCCACTTCCTATTAATGTTTCTATTAATAGACATGCTGATTCTCAGCTGTGGCAATAACAAAGAACATCATAACTCCACCCTTCACACAATGCAGTGCAGCCACTTAATCTAAGTGCCCTACATAGGAAGAACCTCTTGGAAGGGATGGGCTTTGGGAAGCCATATGGTGCTCGGCAGAGGACCTAAAGTCAATGTGGAAACTGAGCAGCATTGGAATAGGCTGGGCTACTTATCATCCATGGGCAGGACTGCGTCGGGTTCAAGGACTGACCCCCTCAGGGGGCTGGACTTCATCAGGGCTTTGGCTGTGGTTCAGAAGTGGGCCTTGCAGGTTCTCGGCACAGCACCAGGAAAGTCCACTGCCCAAGGTACGAGGGCTCCTAGGACCAGTGAGGCCTGTGCTGTTATAATGGATTATGACTGGATCCATCTGACCCATAACAATAAATAATACACATAAAAACACTGCACTGCTAATCAAAAATGCCCAAAGAACATGGACAGAGAGAATGGAATCTTTTTTGACTCGAAAAGAATTAAAATGCGGAACTCAAGGGGACTCATAATGAGTTTGGATCATGTGACCACGGGACTTGGGTTCGATGCATACATGTAGCGTAATGTCAAGGGCAGAAGATGGGGGTGCTGGTGTGACATTTGGTCCAAGGGTTGCCAGGCTGCTCTGTAAAATTACTGTGCAGTGTTTATTTATACAGAGTGAGGTCATAAACATCCATCTCTGTCGCCTCACGTTGGGCACACTGTCTGGCCAGCAGCATCTGTCTCAGGATCCAGTTGAGGGCAGAGCATCGCGAGCACTGGGTGGGTCACTCGGCTGGTCACCTGGACCCCTGTGGCCTGGTAGACCCGTGCAGTTTGCCCGCTGGTTCCAATGAGGAGCTGCTTCCAACTTTAAAACAAAGTGTCCAGGAGCGTTCCAGCTGCCGAGGTCTGATTGCCTTTCAGACTCTGTGCAGCCCATCAAAGCATCCATCTCATTGCCCTGAGCTGCCCCGGCTCCCGCTGGCAGCCATCCATGACCCACAGGCAGCTCGACAGCTCAATTTGACTTGGGCTTCATGCCTCTGAGCATTAAAAGATGCTTCCCTGCTGGCGCTCTTCTTTCCTGGTGTGGAACCAGCCACCTTCACCCAGGCGGTCCCCTCCCGAATGCTTTCTCTAAAGACCTGTGCAGAGTGAGGACCTGCAGGCGTGTGTGTGGCCGTGGGCAGAATCTGGACCCACCTGCTGCTCTGAGCCCCAGCTTCCCAGGCTGTAAAAGAGTTCTCTCTGCCCAGCTGCGCTCACCGGGCATGGACAGATCCAAAGAGAACTCTTGGGGACAGTGCTTAGTCAACAGACAAATGTTAGTTATTACCTCTGTCCCTCGTGAAGAGATCAGAACAAAAGACAATAGGAAAGAGAGAAATCCCACATGCCTGGGTAACTGGGAGAAGCTGGGGTCTCGGGTAAGAGCATTTCCTATGTCTCTGGGCAAATAGGACAAGGAAAACCTACATTTCACCAAGCAGGAGATTCCGTCTAAGAACAGAATGCTCTAACTTACCGCCCTCCGTGGAAGGTGGACTGGGGGCCTGAATCCAGGCTCCAGGCTCCCCCACCATACTGCCTGCAGGGGTCAGGTTTCAGTCCCTTTCGTATTTACTAGACGCTGGCACGTAACGGACACTGGTTGGATGGATGGGTGGATTTAAGATTTTAGATGTTAATACCACACTCCAGATAGAGCCATCTTCACCAGCATGGTTTGTAAAACACGTGCACTCTGCGATGAGGCCCAAGTTCTGGCCTTGGAGGGTAGAGAAAGGTGGTTGCATGTACTGCTGTGGGTGTGCTAATCATTGCTTCAGGACTGTACACTTGCAGATGGTTAAAACTGTAAATATACACTATGTATATTTTCCTGCAATACATTTTTTGAACAACCTCTTTCACAAATGTTTATGTTCCATGAATGGGTGAAATCTTAGTTCTTTCCAGTGCCAACCACCAAGGCTCTAAGACACACAATGTTTGTCTCAGGCTATGTCAGGAGATGGGGGAGCAGGAGAGGAAAGAAGCTTGCTGATAGCCCTTGAGCATCAGGGCCCCAAGGGGAGGAAACATCCAGAAACCCTCAATTGCATATTAGCCTGTCATAAAAATGCCATGACAAAGATCCCAGCTCCCCTCCCCGAAGGACCTGGAACCAGCCAACCCCACCCCAGCCCGCTCTGCTGGCCTCGCTGCCCCTGCCCACCCATGCACACCCTTCTCTTTAGGAGTTTGGCTTCTCCCCCTGGAGACAGCTCCTGGGATAAGGGGACCCCCATACTCTAAATCCCAATAGTAGACATAGCCTGGTCCCAAAATAGGGGCCAGAGTTTGTTGAATGACAGAAAAAATGAATGGCAAAGTTGTTAGTCTTTCCTGGAATTTCATCACATCAGGAAATATGCATTCTTACAGCAGGAAATATGTTAATTTAGCACCAAGAAATATTTTGGCTTTGCATAGATTTATGGGGTAAATTTTGAGCTTCCTTGATGGTGGCTTAGATGGTAAAGAATCTACCTGCAGTGCAGGAGATCTGGGTTCGATCCCTTGATTGGGAAGATCTTCTGGAGAAGAGAAAGAGTACCTACTCCAATATTCTTACCTGGAGAATCCCATGGACAGAGGAGCCTGGTGGGCTATAGTCCATGTATTCTCAAAGAGTCAGACACGACTGAGTGACTGACACTTTCATTGGGTACTTTTATGGTAGGGAGACTAGGAATTGGCACAGAAGGACTGGAGTGGGGGAGGGAGCTGAGAACTGTGTTCACTGGTGAGGGGCTGACTTCGACATCATACACGGAGAACCAGGTTAGAACCAGTCAGCACAGAGCATGGGGCTGTGACTCATCCTAGGGAAGTTTATCCCAGTGACTGCTGTCCAGCATAGGAACAGGCTGCCTCGTGAGGTAGAGAACCCTCCAACATGAGAGGCATTCAAGGATACGTTGAAGTCTGCTCTTAGGAGTGCAGGTGAGAAACTAGATACCATTAATTACTAGGCCCCTACTTCCACCCCCATCAACCCCAAGGGTCTGGGATTCTTTTGAGCTGAGGTTGAAGTGAAAGTTTGTAGGATAGGGTGTAACAAGGGCTTCCCTGAGAGCTCAGCTGGTAAAGAGTACACCTGCAATGCAGGAGACCCTGGTTTGATTCCTGTATTGGGAAGATCTGCTGGAGGAGGGATAGGCTACCCACTCTAGTATTTTTGGGCTTCCCTTGTGGCTCAGCTGGTAAAGAGTCCACCTGCAATGCAGGAGACCTGGGTTCAATCCTGGGGTTGGGAAGATCCCCTGGAGAAGGGAAAGACTACCCACTCCAGTATTCTGGCCTGGAGAATTCCTTGTACTGTATAGTCCATGAGTTTGCAAAGAGTCGGGCACGATTGAGTGACTTTCACTTTCACTTTAAGGTGCAACAGGGGTCAGGATGGCTTCCGTGGACCAGAAGCGTGTTGGTCCAATTCGTCTCTAGTTCTGTTTCCTGCTAACCTTCCCCTAGCCACCAGTGCATGCCGCCCTCCCTCAGTCTGCAGGGAAAGCACCTGCCTAAAAGCGCCACCAATCTGTGTTCCTATAGCTTCCTCTGCAGCACAGAGAGAGGCCCTGGACCCTCGCCAGCATCCTGCCAACCCCTCTGCTGTGGCAAATGAAATCACCAGCTTCACGCTGCAGATCTATTTAAACCAGCCTTTCATGTCTGATGGATTTAAAAATATGCTAGAAGTCAGCATCTTGAACACAAGAAACACAAACAAGCAGATGAGGCTGCATTTTCCCTTCCTCGGTGCCCACCCTGTCCTCTTTCTTTCCTTTCCCCCTCTCCTGCCCCCTCCCAGAGCAGTTTTCATTCATGAAGCCCATCTCCCATCCCTCCCCTTCGCTGAGTGGCTCCGAAGTCTGCAGCCTGAGAGTGGCTGGGTGCCCTAGAAGTCTGGGTTTCCTCCTCAGTGCATAGGAGATAAGAGAGAGCACCCCACAGGTGGGCTGCCCTCACTCCTAGCTCACTCCCTGCCTGGCCGGGCAGACCCCAGAGCAGGACTCACCAAGGCCCTGCCTGGCACAGACAAGGAGCCTGCAGCCCACTGCCCTGGTGATCACAGCCAGCCTTGTCTGGTGCCTTGTCTGGTGCCAGGCACCTTGTCTGGTGCCTTCAGAGCCCCCAAGCTCCCAGTAAGCCCCCCATGAGCCCCTCACAGGATGCTGTCACAGCAGGAGCCCCAGTCCTTCCCCAGATAACTCTGGGGCTTCAGCCCACTTTGGTTGAGCTAACTCAATTTTCTCCTGCCGTAATTGAAGCCATATTCTGTCTAATCCCTGAACGTCATTTCTCTGAGGCTTGATAAGAGGCCCTGCAGCAGGTCCTCCACCTGCAGGTAGGCGGCCAGGCTTGCAAGGATTGCAGTGGCTGAATCTGAAGAGAAGCTTTCCTGGAAACGGCCCCCCCCACCGCTCCACCCCAGCTGGACCAGGAAGGCCAGGCTTCCAACTCCACATTCTCAGTCTCAGAGGCCCATTGAATCTCCTGGGGGATTTGTCTTTATTTTTACTATTTCTTTATCTTTGTTTATTCTTCTTTTAATAGGCTTATTTGGCTTGCTATTTTAAAAAATAATTTAAAAATAATATTTAAAACAGTATCATTGTGTTTCTTTGGTGGGGGGGAGGCTATTGTTTGGTATCTGTCTAGTATTTTAAAGTTCTTGTTTCATTTTGTTACTTTACCTGTCATAACTGGTGGATTATTTCTTCCAACATACTTGGTTGGTAAGTACTAAGAAAAAAATAATACCAGCTCTTGTCCCAGTCCCCTCACAAGAAATTCTCATTTAATTATAAGTTAAAAGCTCTTTTTTAAAAATGTGTTTAATATTACCATTATTAGCAACAGTAACAATGGTGTGGAGTAATAGAAAGTGGAAAACCCACCTGTGTGTGAACTAGTCTCAGATCTGCCTCTCTGTCTCCATCTTCCACACTCTTTACCACCCCACCTCTATTCCGATTTCATCCCTGGCTCCCTTCCCAACTATCCTACCCCTGATGGTGGGGACAAAGAATGTTACCGGCCATTTCTGTGAACAAGGATGTTGCAGCCATGAAGCCATCAGTCATTGCTGCTGCTTTCAGCTGAGGGAATTCAGGATGGAGAAAAACAGGATCCTGGCCCCAGGCAACTGAGGTGCAGAAAACCCCCAGCCACCTGGCACCTTAGAGTTCACGGGTCTCTCCTGCGACGCCCTCTGTGAACCACTTTGCAAGTGGCCCAGCCCTGGCCAGCCAGCAGCTGAATCCTTAATTCCATTTCTCTTGGTTATTAAAATGATTTTCCATGAGATAGTCCTGGCTCAACAGAGTCGCAGACTAATAACGGAGCTGAGCGCCTGGAGGAACCTGGCAACCTGGCCATCCCCACCCCTTCTGCTGTGCGCTGGCAAAGTCGTGGGATATTCTTGTGTTATAGTCCTGGTGGGAACTTCTCTCCCCCCCAAGCCTTTATTTCTCACCCTAACCCCTGATCTCCCAGCAGCCTATCTGCTCTCCCGTCTAACAAGTCTGGAGCAGACTCCCCGTGGAAAGCTCTGATTTCGGCACTTTCCTGGTGGTCCAGTGGTTTTAAGACTTCGCCTTCCACCCTGCAAGGGGTGCAGGTTCGATCCCCGGTCAGGGACTTAAGATCCCACATGTCTCCTGGCCAAAAAACTAAAACATAAAACAGGAGCAATATTGCAACAAATTCAATAAAGACTTCAAAGAAAAAGAAATCTCTGAGCTGAGGGCCACAAAATAAGAGGCACAGAGCTGCAGAATCAGTTATCACAGCTTTTCCAGCTGGGTGGATGCCTGGAGATTGTTCTAGGCTGACACCTTCATTCATAAGTGAGAACCCAGAAGCCTAGGGGGATGGTGCTGACCTCAGGGCCACATGTCAGGCAGGTGCCAAGAGCAGGAAGAATGGGTGCTTGCCCCTGACAGGAGCTTCGCGGTCATAGTCTTCATCAGTTCATTTGGCAAATATTCCTGAACACCTGGCAGAACTTTGGTGGGCGTGGTCTGTACCTGACACTGAACGTGAACATGGATGAGAGGCAGAACCTGTCCTCCAGGAGATCACCATTGAAGGAGACACAAGACCAGACACTGATAATTCAGCAGGTACCACACCTGGGCACATGGAGACACGGGGAGACAGACGGGCTCAGCCAGGCTGTGTGTCCCAGCCCCGGAGGGGCTCAGGGACCCAGGTCAGAGCCACAGCTGTAACCACAGTCATGACAGTAAACCCATGCCCACTCACCGCATCCCTATCATGGCTCCCACTTACCTCCAGCAGCATCTCTGGAAGGGGAAAGGTTATCACCAGTTTGTGAGTGGAGGAAATTGAGGCATAGAAGCTGCAGGTCACGCAGCCAGGAGGTTGTGGGGAAACTGGGGGTTGAATGTGGTGCTCCAGCCCAGAGGCCACACTCCACTGTGCTCCAGGCTCCTCCCCTCTTAGGGGACCTTGGGTCCTCTATGATGACCCCGCGGGGAGCCTCCCACTACCATGGGCTCCAGGTCTGCAGGTGGCCCCAGTCCTGAGTCCTATTGAACAGCCTGGGGTCCTCCAAGCCCTGGCCCTGCTCTGACCTCCTTCCTTGTCTCTAATCTGGGCATCCCCAAGCCAGCTGTCGGAGTCACTTCCAGGCAACAGAGGATGGTGGGCCTTGGCCCCTTGGCCCCTGGAAGCAGCATTCTGACCCACTGTGCACAGAGGCTCAGCTTGGAGGGGCTTCTCCCTGCCAGGGGCTCCTGTACATTCTTGTCGAGGGCCCTCATTTCTGAGAACGGGGAGCTCCCATTTCACCATGTGG